AGGAACAACTCTTGATAGTATTCCAAATGTTCTATTTGAAGGAAGTTATGAAGGCCTCAACAATGATCAAATAATTGGATGGTCTTCCCGCCTTGGTATGGGACACTACCGATGGTTGAGAGGCCCTATCAATCATCTTCGAAGAGAACAAAGATTAGAGTATGTGGCGAATACAATTCGTTGCATGATAGATTCCTTCAACATATGATGACTGCTTCTCGTGGAACTCGTCCCTAGAAAGGGGGGTAATGTCACGGACATACTCATGTAAGCTAATAATTACATATACAAATAGGTAGAAATAAATAAAAGTATGTAAAAGTAAGTTAATTCTATAGTATTTAATATGGAAGCTTCCTAGAAGCTTTATAGACGTTGTTTTGACTTCATAGGTGTCTTTAATTGACTTTTTGGATTGGAAACGTAGTCAACAAGTTGGCCATGTGCCACACATGTTGTTAGCTTGAAGATCAAGCTAACTATGTGGCCCACACGTAGAAAAACTTGCTTTGTAAGTCAAGGCATGTGTCTTACAAAGTCAACACATATTGGAGGTCCTATAGAATGTCACCACGTAGCCCCTAGTTAGATAGTATATATAGAGACAAGAGTGAAGCCTTTTTCACTCTTGTCAACTCCGTTCTTGCTTCTAGTCTAGTTTCAAGGGTCTCTAGTTTTCTTGTCTTTTGGCAATAGCCATTCTAGTTTCTCTTTCAATATACATACTTATTTATTTATATTTTTTTACCTTTCTTTGAGTGAAGGCTCACTTGTCTAGATTATTTTTTCATCCAGTTCTTATCCTCGACAATAGCATCAAAATAGATTAGAATATTTTGTACATTGGCTTGGGTATGATATTAAAGAATGCACATAAGAATCATTTCAAAATCTTGTAAATCTAATATAGAAGATTGATGTTTTTTTTTATTGATAATATCCATTAAAATTGAGATGAAGATATAAAATATTCTTTGCTATAAAGAAAAGCAAGTTTAATAAAAATTTCATTCTATTTCCTATCTTTATTTGTGGTTTCTTTATATTTTTATAACTAAAAAGATAGAGGATAAACAACCAACATATTCAACTCAAGAGTTATCATTTGTTGATGTATGAGATGAGGCATTGAAATTGTTACATTCTTTAAGACAACATAATAGAAATGAAGTCTTTCAAGATTAACACGTTTTTTGTTAAATAGATAGTAAGATACAATGTATTTGATATTACAACCTTGGAAGAGATTTTCATTGCTTGGTGATACTATTAGAAGTAGGAACCACTTTTAATGGTATTTTAAATATTCTTTTTGAAGCAAGTTATAAAAGCCTCAATAATAATCAAATAAGAGAGTGGTTTTCTTGCTTTGGTATAGAACACTATTAATGGTTGAGAGGATAAAATGGATAAGAAAATATCAAATTTTTTTGAAAATATAATTTGTTGCATCTTAAATTTTTTTAACATATAATTACTATTGTTCATAGAATTTGTCTTCAAAAAAAGAAGCAATGTCAAGGATATATCAACACCAATAAAAAAAAAAAAAACTTAACTAATTTTTTTATAAGTTAGCCACATAACATACATGTTAGCTACGTATTCCATAAGTTGAACTTGTATCAAATAACCTATAAAACGTTGTCATATAATTCATTAGTTAGATAGTATATATGGAGGTAAAAGTGAAGCCTTCTTCACTCTTAGTAAGGCCTTTTTTATTCTTAGCCTTGTTTCAAGAATCTCTAATCTTTTTGTATTTAAAAATATCCATTCTAATTTATATCTTATATCTATCATTGATTTGTTTAATTTCTTTCTTTGTGTTCTATAAAAGTATATTTTTTCTTTAGAATTTTATCATGATTCATGTCCTTGATATATGCTTAGAAAATCAATGTCTAAAATTTAAACTTAAAAGAGATTTGAGAATATAATAGAATTTTACTTGGACAAAAAACTATTAGATAACTTAATAATGGATGAAATTATAATAGAAGAAAAAATATTGGATGAAATTGATAGTAGATGAAATTATACTTGTTCACAATCTCCATATTTCTCTAATAATATGAAATTACTCATTTCACATAATGTTGCTCCAAACTCCACATTGCTCTAACAATATGAAATTACTCATTTCACATAATGTTGCTCCAATCTCCACATTGCTCTAGCAATATGAAATTGCTCATTTCATATAATGTTGCTCTAATCTCCATATTGTTCCAATAATGTATTTTTTTTTATGTTATATCTTCTTTAATTTTTTTTTCCAATTTAAGCAATTCAAGATTTTACTTGTTTTAATAATAAAAACACAAAAAGAATAAACAAAAATATACAAAATAAAAAATTCCCTCTATAATTTCTCTTGTATTTCAAACTTTCTTATGAGTATCTTAGTTATATAATCTAATTTGGTTTTAATTCCATATTTGATATCAGTATAAAACTCTTAATTTATTGTGATGTATAATAGCTATTTAAATAGCATCTATTTTCCCAAAAATATTATAATATTTTTAAAAAATAAGACTTAAAATTAAAATAGAAATCATACAATGATGTTTCTTCAAAAGGAATAATTTCTAAATTCAAAGACCAAATATTTATTTATATGTTTGTATTTAGATATTACTTGTCTTACTTACTCATTTGTACTGTACCAACTAAATCTTATAAACAAATTCAACAAAGATTCTAAGGATTATAAAATATTTTAAAGTCTATATTTTTGTTTTAAATATTTCAAAAAAAAAAAACCATGGAGATTTCTATAAGGTTCTAAAAACTTAAAAGATATCTGCAAAAAGTGATGTAAAAGATTGAAAGGATTTGAAATATTTTAGAAAAGTTTAGAAGATACTTAAAAGTGTAATTTGCTATGTGCTCTTAAAAGTGTAATAAAACATATGGTAATATATATATATATATATATATATATATATATATATATAATATTTTATAAATATGTAAAAATAAAAAATTAAAATATGCAATCTGTATTTGTAAATGGATAACATTTTGTTTTGACTTGATATTATGTCCATATCAATATTTTTATTTGATGTATATTTTGAATTATTTTATAATATATGAAATAATTAAAAAGTATACAAGTAATAAATAAAATTACTAATATAATGTATACGAATAATTAAAAAATAATATGAAGTATAGCAAATAGATCAAATAAATATACATGTAATAAATACAATCGTGCAATGTTTTAAAAAGATATCAAAAGAAATTGTTTCAAAATAGATTAAATAAATAAAAACCAAAATAGATCAAATAAATATACATGTAATAAATACAATCGTGCAATTTTTTAAAAAGATATCAAAAGAAATTGTTTCAAAATAGATTAAATAAATAAAAACCAAAAAAAAAACAGTAATCTTATGAAATAGTACTTTTTATTTAAATATATACATTATTATTAATTTTTTTTATTATAAAATCATTAAAAATATAGTTCATAAATAAATAATTATACTATTTTATGTTGATAGAAAATTATTAAAATTATAATACATATTCAATAACAAAAAAATTCTTTATCATAAATTACAAGTCTTATTGATTATGGTCATAATTATATGATTTGTTTTTGAAAAATGAATGAATAATAAACCAAAGTTTTTAATAGAGATAAATCCAAGTTATTTCAATTTACATCTTAATCTTCCAAATGTTATAGAAATAACTTGATGCAAGTCAAAAGAATATAATTTTGATACTTTTGTATATGGTGTGTGAAGGTATATATTTAAAGTTCAATAAGAAAATCATACTTGGTCGATAAAAATTTAAAATTTTATTTTATTAAACTATTAATAGAGAAAGATCGATACTTTTTTAAATAATAGAAATTTGTAATAAGATTTTTTGTTGCAAGAGATAAAACATAGATTGTAGATAGAATAGTTATTCATAAAATATTATGTCATATCTAGATTTTTTTGTAAGAATTCTTTTAAACCTATTTTTGTGAAATTTTATATTAGAAAATCTAATGTATAAGGTAATTTCTTTATTTATTTATGCATCTTAAATATATAATTTGATTAAAAATTATTATTTTTAATCTATAATAAAAATACAAGAAATATAAAACATAAAAAATATAAGTAATTCAAGTTAAAGATAGCCAATCTACAAAATTTAAGTACTATGATTAAGAATAATAAAGATCAGTTGATTTCTTATATTTGCTAAAAAAATTTAATTTTGATATCATTTTATTAAATATTATTAAAATTAAAAATACACTATTTGAAATATTAAACTTAGATTACCAATCCTGTTCAAAATTATTTAAAGAATAGTAGGATACATTGACCATATTAGACATAACAAGATTACCAAAGATTACCAAATGGCCATGTTAAAATAAAATAAATGTTATATAGAAAAGAAAAGAAAAGAAAATAAAATAAAAGAAATATATATATATATATATATATATATAATTTTAAATGATAACCAATTAAATAATATTAAACATTTTATAATAATTTTTTTTATTTTTTTGAACTCCTCTAATTCTGTAGAAAAAATTCATTTGAATTTGTTCAATTAACACTCCTTTACATTCCATGCCACGTACAAGAACATTCACTTTAGAATAGACGAAAGTAATTGAGACAGTAAATTCTGGAAGTGGACAGATGTCGTCGAAAATGGATGAAAGGGAGAGATGAGTCGCGCGTGGATTATTATGTCACGGAAGGCCCTCCGAATGGGGCCTTACGCAGAAGGAAGACCGCGTGCCCCCGCAACGGCCCTCTTGCATCGATCGCCGCAAGCCGGCGTCTAAACGCTACGTCAAAGCTGCGGCGGACAGAACAACATCAACCAGTCCAACGGCCGACGCTTTCTTGAGACGCCGACGGACGCCGACGACCGCGGTCGGACGCGTACAGACGTGACGTCGCCGTGGGGGAGACCCTGGGATTCTCGCTTACCGCCAACCCTAGCTCCCCTCCTTGTGCTTCAACACTCCGCATCCTTTTTGAGATTGCTTGTATGCATCGCTGAGGCTGCTGTGCATGCGAGGGTCGTGCGCTAGGGCACCTCGGGATGTGGCCGGTGGTCTGGTCTTGTTTCTTAAACACATTACAAAGAGCCTAGCGAAAAAAATTGCGTCCAGGTTGTTCACCATTTGGATGGAATTGGGGTGGAATTAATCTGAAACACCCCGTGCGGGAGTTTTTCAATTGCAATATGCCGTGGGTGTTTTTGTTTCGGGGAATGTCAGTGTGGGGAGAATATGTTAGAGCTCATGCAGGTTTAGGAGAGTAGTGGGTTTCATTTCGCTTGCGGAAAGCTTTTTGGACGGGATTAGCTTTTGATAGCAGCAGACGGAGCACGAGATTTTTCCAAGATGGTGTGGACCGTTTTCGCGGAGTTTTGATGTTAAGGTTTCGAATGGTTGGCAAATGATTCAATAAATGTTCTGGGTTTTCTTAAATTTTTGGTCTGGGAGGAATCAGAAATCGGATTTTCATTCACATGGGTTTAATAGCATTTTCTCATGAAGGGAATGCGTGTGGGGCACATTTTAGGTCGGGAAGAAGTCAGTCTGTTTCCGGAAGCTTAAGGTCAGGGTTCCTACAGCAACCGAAGCTTGAGACTTCATGTGGGCATTTTAGACGTCAGTAGATTGGAGCCCGCATGAAGTCGCGTCTTTCCGTTCTGATTGAATTAATCAGAGGAAGGATCGTCTGTCTGCAGAAGTATGCAGGTTAGATTGACCTAGAAAGAGTTATTATCTGGGAAGTTCCAGGGCCGGATGATCACGCACCTGACTCATTGACGTTTGTTCTGCAATTATTTGTCCCCTGAAAAGGGCAATACTTAGTTTTGGTCTTGGAGCTGTACCTGGGAATGCGGGGTTGTTTGGCAGATCACAGAGAATCTGATTCTATTTGGTTCCGCTTATTTCTTCTTAGAGTATAACTGGCATGGCTTCCACTGGCGACAGCTTGTTTCGTTTGCTTACGGTAGCTCCAAGTGCGTTCTCTCCAATCCTTTCCTTTCTAACCTTCCCTTTTCTATTTGTAGGTCAGTGGATTATTGCAAATTTATATTTGACAGGATTCTCACCAACTTCCCCTGCAAAAATAATTTATCTAGCAAATTAATATTATGTATTGACCACCTCATCGAAATGTATAGGCTCTCACTTGTCTGACAGCATATCAAGTGACACCTACATGGAATAAGGACTGCTTTTTTCCAACTTTTACTATATTTAACCACAAAGAACATTTTAAACTTTCGGAGTCATCTGATGCATTAGGTGTCCAATATAGTCGCTAGTTCTTTGTTTTGAGCTTTCTCGAAGCTGCCGTTGTTCTTAACAGGATTTGTTTACTGTTAATTGAAATGGGCCGTTGATTTGAACTGCATGAAATTTTATATTTCATGAGGTATGCTCAGTTGATTGGGCTATTCTCGGGGCTTGAAATGTACTAACGTTTGATGCCTCATCTTTATGCCATAGGATCTCGAGAATTGTCTGGAACAGTCGATCTCATATCTCACTATCAACTGAGGGAGCCATTTGAAGCGATTTGCAAGAAGCCTTTGCCAACATCGATTTCCGACTCTAAGTATTTGAGTAATGTAGTTGGAGACAGTGAAATTCGAAGGGGAGATGATATGGAGCTTGGTCAACTCATACAGGGACCCGCTGGATCCTCGATGCCTTCAGATCGCGTGCCCTTTCAGCCTTTTGATATTGAAGTGCTACGAAGGGCTTTCGCTTTAAAAGAATCGGGCCCAATATCTTTACCAGAGGTTAGCAATGATACCCACAGAACGAATCAAACATGTTTTCGGCAAATTATTTCAACTTTTATTCTACAGTAAGTAATCCAGCGCAATCCAGTTTTAATGTGCTCAATACCTTCTTGCAGTCTGAAAGAGGATTACCCATCATCCGTTCCAAGAGCAAGCATCAAGATGATGAAAAGAAGAAGAGGAAGCATAAGCACCGCAGCAAAGACAGGGATAAAGACAAAGACAAGGAAAGGAAGAAAGATAGGGATAAAGACAAGAAAAGAGACAAGGACAAAGACAAAGATCGGAGCAAAGGAGAGAATGGCGAGAAGAAGCATAAGAAAAAGGTAATTGAGTCTGTTGAATGCTGTGCCTTTTGTGAACTTATTGAATGGCATCAGTTTTTGAGTTCCTTCTGGGCTTCGTGTGTATCAGGGTTTTTCACCTCTGTTATTGTAGAATACAAATACAGAACCAGAAATAATAGTGTCTATTGGACGCAGAAGAGGAGACACGATGGGGAAGATGGTGACGACGGGCATAAGCACAAATCTAAGAAGGTGGGCCATGTGGTTTTAATACGTAGTTAGTTTTCATCCTTTTGTGCAGTTTTCATGTGGCTGGACGTGCTAATAGGTGTGGCTATCACATTGCAGCACAAACACTCTTCTAAGGTGGAAGGACAGACTGTTTTGATCAAAAACGGGAAATGAAAGGGGTGTGATGTTATTCCTTGTGAAGATTTTGCGTGGAGTTCCCTACACTCTTGCACAGAACTTACAGGTGAGTTCAAAGCAGTGTTATTTCATTCCATTCCTTAATATTATTGACATTGCTAACCTAAAGCATTAGTTTGTAAATACCGTGATCCTTGAGAAGTTGGTTATTTCTATATTAAATATTATATTCTTATGTAGCTTGTTTGTCCAACTTTTTTTATTTGACCGTGTCCACGTCCTACTTTATGATGTATACGACTTGGTCAACTTGTGTGGTTGAATGTGCTGCAGACAGAACGTGGGGGTGGAATAGTTCCTGATTCAAGAACCTGGATGCCGTTTTTCGGTTTTTGGCATAGGGGTCGGTGGAAATGTGGAACGCTTAACAAGCTGTGTTTGTGATGTGGCATCAACTGGTTTCAGAGTGTTCAAACGGCTTGTACTATATTCTCAGTTGTGATTACAGAGTTTGACGCTGTAGGAGGTCCTTTGTCAGGAGTGCACATTCGCATTCAGGATTCTTTTACTTGCAAGATATGAGTCTTAGTGATGACAACCCTAAACCTGGTAGCCTCTTCAACCCAAATTGTGAGGTTGAAGCACTCTGTTAGAGGGCACCCTTGATGTGTCCATGTAATTTATATGAGCTTGTTTTGGCAAATGAATCACTGCCAGTACGAGGTGTGCTTCTGCTGGACTTCCGCTGTAGGATCAAATATCAATATTCTTTGATATTCTAGGGAAGAGTTTTGTTTGCATTCCAGTTTTTTGGGGCATTACTTTCGCTGAACTTGCTGGACAATTTGGACCCAATCTTAGTCCTCCTCCATGTACCTATACAGTTACCAGTCATAGACTTAGGTGAGCGGGTTGAGAAACAAAGGGCGTGGATTGATCTTGTCTGTTGGTTTAGACTTTCTCAACATATTACATCACTGTCATAATTGTGCTGTGCACCAGTTTTATGACATGAAAGGGAGGCCAACCCTTTGCTGCTCTATGCAGCTCCCTGCAACATAGTACCGTGATCTTCAAGTACAGTTTTTCTCATCATCTGTGCAATGAATTAGCAAGTTGCACCTGAACACCGCATTTAACCTAATTACCTACATGAAGCGAAATGAATGATCGCTGCTTATGCTACAGTTGCCAAGTTTCACCTGGTCGACACATCGTGTCTTATTTTTAGGATGAATAGAAAATTTAAATGGCTCTTTGCGTAAGTATATTTTAATAAATTCTAAATCTTCAACCTAGAATACTTTTGTACGCATATATATATATATATATATATATATATATATATGTGTATATGTATCAAATAAAAAAATAAATCTCATCCCCTTAATCATACACTTCTTCCAATATTTCAAGAACTCTCAGCAATGGCTTGCTTGTTAGTAATTAATCAGAAAATTTGTGGTAACTACGTGACAGCCATATCTATAGATATGCACGGATGACAAGCAGATGAAGTAGAAATATCAAATGTTACTCTCCTCACAGTCTGTGCAGCACATCCATGGATTCAAGGAGCTTCAGGTCATGCATACAATTCTCTCCTAAGATGTGGAGCTCAGCTCCACAGCAATGCAGCCATCTCTCACACATTTATGCCTTCAAAGAGGAAGGGAAGTAGTTTCTTGAACAGTGTTTGAATGCCCTCTACTTTTCTTATTGTGAATGTTGAGCAGATTACAATTACTAGGAAAAAAGAAAAGAGAAGAAAATATATCTATATCTCTATATATATATACAACATAAACACGTAAAAAACGTACTGCATTAAAACAGCCCCGAAAAATGGATATTTCTTTCTCTGTTGTCACGAAGGCAGCTAGCGGTGATACTGAGGCATGAATGATGAACACAGCCTTGACAGCCTTAAAGATTGAACGTAACAGTTCAAGCTTTATTGAATGTTAACTATTTGCAGATTTGTGTGCATTGCCATTGGAATGATGATCCATTAGCCATCTTTCACGTCTAAGTACTCCCGTAGAACCCCATTCCGACTTGGCTGCCTCAGCTTGCGCATTGCTTTAGCCTCTATTTGCCTTATTCTCTCCCGAGTCACTTTAAAGAGTGTCCCAATTTCTTCTAAAGTCCTCGACTGGCCATCGTCCAGTCCAAAACGCAGTCTGAGGACTTCTCTTTCCCTTGGATTGAGAGTGCATAGAACACCATCTACATCTTGTTTCAGGACTTGCCTTATGAGATCATCCTCAGGTGATTCAACGTCTTTGTCAGCGATCATTTCCTACAGTATCAAAGGCTCCAAATCAGATCTGTGGCCAAAACCAGAAACTTACGTGATAAAAAGGCAATAGTGAACGAGCACTACAGAATTCAGCTACCATCAACTATCATTCTTAGGTAGCTAGAAGTTAATAAATAACAATACTGTCTTGAAAACTTACCCCTATTGACTGATCCTTTTCTTTGCCAATAAGCCGATCCATCGAACTTGGGGTTTTAGCTGACTTCACTATGAATTTCAATTTCTCTACACTCATACCAACCAGTTCAGCAACTTCTTCGTCACGTGGCTGCCGCCCATGCTCCTGAATCAGCATCTTCTTGGCCTTATTGATACGAGATATAACTTCGTATAAATGAATCTGCCAGAACAATGGCCAAACACAGATCAGTCTTCAGATAGCTGCACAAAATCAGGCTGTACACAGTAGTAAATGAATAACTTCAAAAAGTTTAAAACGTGCTCATTTCAGTGGGAACATATACAAGGCTGAGCTCATTTATTTATTCATCTAGTTATGGATGATCGTATCGTTGCAAACTGCGAACTCAAAAAACCCAACCCTATACCAAATGCGGTACACTCTCTGGGATTACTCTACATACTAACTGAGTAACAAAATAACTCACTGGTAAACGAATGATCCTAGATTGATCCGCAATTGCCCGTGTTACAGCCTGCCTAATCCACCAATGTGCATAAGTACTGAACTTGAACCCTTTGTCCGGGTCAAATTTCTCGGCTCCCCTAATCAAGCCCATGCTCCCTTCCTGTTTCAACAAAGAAAATGACATTTGTATGAGCTCTGTCAGATATGACAAAGCAATAAAACAAACTGCCGCTTGGAATTAGGAAATTTGGTTCAAAGGAACGCATAAAAACCGTTTAAAACGAACCTGAATTAAATCAGGAAGAGTCATGCCCCGGCCTTGATAGTTTTTGACAATCGATACAACCAACCGCAAATTCGAGTTCACCATTTTATCCTTCGAATATCGGCCCTCCTTAACTCGCAATTCAAATGCATTCTGCTCCATCCCTACAGCTCGACTCCATTCACCAATGCTGGGCTCCCTTCCTATCTCTCGCTGTAAATCACTTTTTACTTTCTCCAGCACAAGAAGATCCTGAGTACAGAACAGAGAACAGACGAGGTTCAGAAAAAAATTCATGTGCATGGGACTTTGACATATTATGTAATAGAATACTCTCTCCCAGGTATCCAGAAAAGAACACAACTCTTGAGAACCAGATAATGAAAACATGCAATCTTCAAACATGAAGAATTCAAGTTGCTGTAATGATCCGTGTATTGCGATAGCTGAAAAAAGATCGCTGGAATCTACGTTTAATGACGAGGAAAATGGCTACTGCCTTTCAGAGCTTCTAATACAACCTTTAAACAGGTCCGAACAATAAAACTCGTCAAAGTTTCAACATATTGTGAAGTTGACGAAGCACATTAACAAGAAACCCTTGCCTGGATTTTTCGAGAAAGAGCAACTTCCTCCGATGCTGTGAGCAACTTGGTTTTTCCAATATCGCGCAAATATGCACGAACCGGGTCTGTAGGTTCCTGCGAGATCTGGGGTTTCTTGGGCCTAGGCGCAGGAGGCGCAGAAGCAAGAGCAGTTGCTAACTTCTCCGCCTTTTCCAACGCACGCTCGCGCTTCTTTCGTCTCTCTCCTTTACGCTTCGATTTCACTGCGACATTAGAAACCTTGGTTGGGGGCAACACATCTAGAGTCTCCGCATTTTCGGAACCTGCAAGTCAGAGATTGTTTCAGAATAAGTTAATTAACGAACCCCTGCAAGTACTGTTTTATTGAAGAGATCCCTGCTTGGGCTTACATGCATTCTGACACATCATTAACAGACAGAACATATACTAAACAGGCTAAACCTAGCCGTCTGCCGTTGGGGTTAAAGGAATTGATGAAAAACACCCAGCATAGGCTTTCGAAATTAGATCACACATGGGAACTCCTTGAAACTCTTCACCACAAGAATAATTTCAATAACAATAACATTAAAGTTGAGAGCCAACTTAACCAGAAAAAGAGAGAGAGAGAGAGAGAGAGAGAGAGAGAATGCACAAATGCACACACACACTTGAAATGAAATACAGAGAATGACGAGGTGGTGTAATGTAGAGAATACTGAGGCTGTAACTAGTACCTGGATTTGCCACTACCGAAGAGGTACCCTCTGCCTCGCCAACAAGAGTGGATACATCTTCCAACAACAATTCTAATTTCTGAACATAGCTCTGCTCTGCTTCTAGCATTGCAGCCTCGGCATGATAATCCTCCCGAAAAGTCTGCTCCATATCATTCAACCTAGCCCTCTCCAACCTCAGCAAATCGAATTCCGACGGGAATTCGTCGTTCTCCACTTTCATCGCATCTGCGTATGAGGAAGCAGCCCTGGCAGCCTTCACAGCTTCCAATGCTAACGCCATCGCTTCTTCGGCATCATGACATGAAACTTCTTCTTCGCTACTGAGCCAGCTCTCAGTCACTAAAACATCATCCACTTTTAGAGCTCGACTATGCACTGAACTTCGGACGGGATACACTGACAATGACAAAAGCGCTTCACACCTCGACAGCGCCGACTGAAGCTTAATCCTGGAAAAACAACAATGCCGACACTCCATAAGCATTTGTACCAGAACTCAAACCAGCACAATTCCAGTACAAATAACAAGTTAACATCCAAGATCGCACATTCGTGTGGAACCCTACACAATTCTCCGGACTCCACAAAAACCTCAGGGACAGCACTTTCACAGGCGCAACATCCAACTCCAAAACCCTGCGAGTCACCCCTTCACAAAGCTACGAAAAGCAGCATTCCAACCGCTCCAGAACTACCAATTTCACCACGGAACACTGCCACCCGAAGCCAAGCAGTCGAAAACTAACCGCATGGACGCAATCTTTCGCTGGCTCGCCCTCGTCGACCTCATTGCACACTCCACGCCACTGTCGCTCCTCCCGCTGCAAGAGCTGACATTACCATCCTGCCCTCTGTGCCCCAACCCTCCTCTGCTTTCCAAGGCAACCACGCCCCAGGCCGACGACAATGCCGCCATCGCCAAATCCAAATTGCTCCTCCCAATCCCCCAAAACTACATGCTACCACCAAGAATTATATCTCCCGCTACAAGAACGCTCTCCACCTGCGTCAGAGCTCTTCTACAGCTTATTCAATTGACGGAGAAGCTCCACGAGCAATGACACGCAGGTTAAAGACGTAGGTTCATCGCCGAAAGCAGCAGAAGCAGCAGCAAACAAGTGAGAAGCAAAAGCACGGCGAGCTTCAAACTAGAGCACCGGAGTGAGTTCATCAGCCTCGGGGGGAGGAGGTAGGGATGAACCCCCCCCCCCCCCCCGCCCCCCACCGATTCAGATAAGCCTCAACTTGTAGATCTTTGAAATGTACAGTTATAGTACATATACAGAGGATGAACCAAAGAGAAGAGGAATTCGTAGACTCTCACGTGGCATGACGATTCTCCTGATTCTGAAGGAGGTCCACGTCATCGTGTAATTTACGGTGTTCACACTGGCATGTTGGTGCTTCAGCGGTTTTTTCTTTTTCTCGGCCCTAATCTTTTCCTTATCCAAATCGGTTCCCAATGACGTGTGAACGACCGTTCTCAGTTGATATCCGACCGAGAACAAGTTCGCAAGCACCCAAATTTGGTGAGCCACAAATCATAGCAATCAAACCACATTTACTAGAATATTTACTAGTTACTAGAATGTTTTTCTAGAGAAGTTTATCAGAAGCTGTTCAATTTAATTCTCTTCGTAACAAATCAATAGGGTAAAGACGAAACGACGTGTGAGAAATCAGAGCTAGTAAACGTTGTTTTTTTGGTGTAGAACCGGATGTTGATGAGGAAGGTGTTACTGTGGAGAGATTTTCCAAGTCCGTGAGACCCGGGAATTCCATTGCAATAGGGTGTGTGCGCATGGCGGAAGCAGAGGAGATTGCACAACCAACCAAGAAGGGTAATACACAGAGCAAGCAAAATGCAGTCAAGGAGGGTGGTGTTTTGATCTTGTGGGTTTCCTTGAAGAAAGAAAGGATTGAAGACTGATGCGTTTTAAACATTTGCCCGTGAAATGTATAAAGCACTGACAGATCTGAAGCAACTGATTGCAGAGCGTGAGGCGGAGCTTGTTGGGTTTGCTAATGAGGACGTATACATGGGAATGCATCGAAGTCCAGGACACTACGCCGATATCTACGAGTGGGCACTAGGTGCACGATTCCGCTCTGTTTTGGGAGACTTGAACAATTGGGAGCATAGGAAGCATTTTGCTCGTGTGGGTTATTTCGGCAGGGATGACCTCAATTATTTCATAATACTACATATTTTAAATCTTTGGTAATTTTGTTAAAAACATATTGTTGTTAAAAGTTGTATTTATTACATGTTGACTAAAAACAACAATTTTTTTTGAATGCCTTTCTTAGGCATTCTTTATTTGTTTCAAAAAAGTAAAGATAATGTTGCATACAATCAATAACAAACTATTTTTTTTTTTAAGCTTGAAGTAATTACATGTTTAAGCTGCACAATGAACAATTACTTCTTATTCCATATTATTTTAATGGTATCTGTTCTTATCAATCATCACAAAATTCTTTTAAAAAAAAATTAAAAAATTATCTAACAAAATTTTATTCAAAAGCTTATATATTTTAAAAAATCAAATACAATTATATGTTTTTTTTAAAGAAAAATATGATTTTATTTAATATAAAAGATATTTAGAATTTATTTTAAAAGAGTTTTGCTTGCTTAAAATGTAGAAAGCAAACAACATATTTATATAATCTTGTAATATTTGCTCTTAAGAAAAGATTCTAATTTATCAATCTGATATGATTTTTTGATTATTGTCTATTCTAAATCAAATATATTTCATTTTTCTAATGCATCTTATTCCCCATCTATAAATATTAAATCTTTACACCTCTATTTTTGCAATATCAGGTTTCTTGACCAAAATGACATATCTTGTATTTTATTTAAAGTTTATTACAAATATAGATATAAATAAAATATTTTTAATAATTTTTTAATATTATAAAATTCTAATAAATTATTTTAAAATCAGTATTATAATTTTTATTAATTTTTTTAAGAATATTTTTTTGAAAAATTAATTTCAAAAATCAAATTAATTTTAACTTTATATCTTCAAATTGTAATAAAAAATAAATATTTAAATCAATTAGTAGATAATAATTTTTAATATATCATCAACAATCATTAAAAAATTAATGAATATATTTATGTTGACATACTTTTATTTATTAACATAGAAATTCTTCTATTCAACTAATATTAATTTTGCAAATTATTATTAAAATCCTAAATTTGATATTTTATTAATTGTTTCAAAATTAATAAGATTGCAATAAAAGATGTGATTAGCAAAAAATAAAAGCTTTAAATAATAAAAAAAATATATAACTAAAAGAAGTTTAAAAAGGACAAAAAATATAAATAATTATAGAAAAACTTCTATTCAATTATAGAATTATTTAATTATAATAATGATGGTTGTGTTTTTTAGATCAATCAAAATTGTAAGTAATTCATCTTATAATTTACTATATAAGATATTTTTTCTAAATAATGTAAGTTTCTTGGCTAAATCTGGATTTTAGAAGGATAATATAATTGCACAAGTTTTGATTGCCTATCATTCTTTTGTACTCTGTTGTTGTTTTTTGTATTCTATTAGTTTGATTATGTTGTTTAAAAAACATAAACTTAGTAACTATTTAACAAACATGACTTTGTACAAACTTGAATTAGAATCTATATTATAATAATAATAATAATAATAATAATAATAATAATAATAATAATTTTGTGAAGAAAAAAATACACCTTAAAGAGCAATTTAGACCAAAAGTAGTGATATATATATAAATTTGATGGAAATTTCATAAATATATTCTAAATATAGGTACATAAGAAAAAAGAATATAATAATAATTTTAATTACAAAAAATAATAATTTTTGTAAGATTAACTCTCTACAATAGTTGATTGTAAAATACTAGAATAATAAAAATTTTAAAGTCTTATTATCTTTCCAAAGTTTGAACAAACAAAAAATACTACAAGAATCAAATATTATTATATAAAAAAATAAGAAAAAAACATTCAATTGATTATGTGGTGAAGATTATATATTCAAAAACAAAATCCTATTCAAAAACAAATAAAGAAATTAAAATTGCTATTACAACTTGCAATGGCATAGAATACAAAGTCATCCCTTCTTCTCTCTATTTTGGTAAATCCAAAAGATTAATTGTATCTAGTTGAACATTAATATTATATGAATTTTTTTTTCATCATCTCTTTGCAATTCTTAGACATTCTATTTGATGGAGCCTACTTTTATATAAAAATGAAGCAAAGACAAAATGCAAAGGAATTAATAAAATTCAGTCCAACAACAATGCTTAGCTCCCCATATCTTGTACCATTCTATTATTAAGCTTTTGTGTTTATCAAGTCAATTTTTGTAGTTGTAGAAAATATAGAAATTTCTATAATATTATATATATATATATATATATATATATATATAATTAACATGCTTCATCATAAAATAAAGATGATGCTCTTTTAGAAGAGTCACAATCTTAGACATAATTCTATCTAAAGATCTAATTATTATAATACTAGTGTATTGTATTGATACTCATAAATGTATCATGCACTTCTTTTAATATATTAGCTTAATTGTTAATATGTTTTCATCCATCTACTTAAGCAATCTTTATTATCTTTTTAAGATTTAGAGTCTTGTTATAATCCTGTGTTATTTTTGTTGTATTTTAGAGCTCTAAAACATGTTGTTACTACTTTGTGCATTCTTTGTTGTGATTTGAAGCTTTGCAAGGTATTGTTGCTATTTTTTATTTTTTTATTTTTTTAATTTAAGATTTAGAGTTTTACAATATGTTGTTTCTCCCTTGTGCTTTATTTGATATAATCTAGGATTCTGCAATGTGTATTTGTTGCTTTGTACTCTCTTTGTTGTAATTTGGAGCTTTGAAATGTACTGTTGTTGTCTTTTTCTTTGTTATAGAACTTTGAGTAGTATTTTTTTTTTAAGATGATATAAATTATAAGCAAATATATCTTATAAGAATCTTGGTCAAGTTTATTGTTGATGTTTTGTAGAGTTGATTTATTGAAATATTTTATAAAGGTAATAATAATACTTAAACATAAGCTTTTTAATGAAATATGACAAGCTATAGTTTTTGTAGATCTTGACTTTTGTTGTGACCAAGTTGATAAAGCATCTTTATTTTTTAAATTTTATGATTAAAATTTTAAAATAAATAATATTGGTAGTATATTTGAAGTGTTTTTTTATTTTTTTTATGTAGGATTTATCTTTATTGTCAATCATTATATTTAAAGTAGAATTTGTTCAAATATTTTTATTGTTTGTATTTGTTATGAAATAAGAGAGATTTTTTTCTACAAAGTTGTTATTTAGACTTGTTCAAGTGTATTAAATTATATTTCAAATAAATTTGATTAATTATATTTATTAAAGAATTCACATTTTGATAGATTTTGGATAAAAAATCTTGATGATTGATATGTCTTCTAATCTAAGGCATATCAAAGTGTGAATAGATTTTGATGGCTTGGATAGAAGAGTTTAGAAAAAGATCATAAAATTGATCAAATGTAGAACAACATCAATAAATGCAATGCTAAAAATTTCTTTTATAAAAGTAAAAATGATAGGTATAATAATGATTTGTATAAGTCATTAAAGCTTAAATTTAAGGAGTTGAATAGTCTTGAGGTTTAAGTATTAAATACATATCTTATATATATATATATATATATATATATATATATATATACATATATATATTTGAGATAAAGATTTGGTTGAAATATCAATAATCATGTCTAAGTTTGAAATATATTTTAATGGAACTTCTTATTATTATATTTTTTTTAGTAAACTAATTATAAAAATTAATATGATTAGTGCATAAATAATACTTAAGATTTTTACTTAGAGTAATAGGACTTTGGTTTTTTTAATAAATAATAGTAGGAGTAGATTGTAGAAATCTTAATTTGAATAATAATTTACAAAGCTAAACTAATTTAGTTGTAGCTTTAGGAAGAGCCATATTCTTTCTTTATATGAATGATAATGCAATATTTTATCGTTATTTTCTTTCTTCCACAAAACCAATGCCTTGCTAAAAGAAATGAATTGAACTATAAGTATTCCTATTGCTTGATCAATCTTCATTAGAGAAATTGTAGACA